CAATAGGACAAAAAGAAAATCACTGATGACAATGGATCGGACAATGTACCGATCAATCCTCCCAACTTTAATTCACAGTTAAATTAAGATAAAGTAATGTACCCCCAATCACCTAATTATACAAAGGAAAACCATATTAGACACCAGATTTTGCGTGTACTTGATGTGTTTTTCACCAGATAGCATTCTTTTATCATCTACATTCTAAAATTTTCTTAACATCAGATACTTATTTCTGACTTGGTTTCCCTTTGAGAAGACTCAAAGAAAAATATTCTTTTTCTTATACTTTTTACAAAAAACACATAATTGTTTATATCTGATACCATTTCTAAAAGATTCTTGTCGTGTTATTTTGTGAAATTAAAAAGTAAGCATTTGTTTCTTTAAACAAAAAGTTGAGCTAAAATTTTGAGAAATTGGTAACATATCTGTTAAATGTAAGTGCAGTTTTAATTACTTCATGGCTCTTAAATTTAAAATTGCATGCAGGTACCTACACTAAACTTGATGCAGTGATAATTATGAGTTTTCAAATAAATTGCTTCAATAATTCTCTAATTGTTTTTTTTTTTTTTTTTTTTTTTTTTTTTTTATGGTTTTTCTCCGGTACCGGGAACCGAACTCACGACCTTGTGCTTGCCAGGCAGGCGCTTTGCCGCTGAGCTAAATCCCCAGCCCCTCTAATTGTTTTTTAACAAACATATTTCTTTAGTGTTGCTAATAAATGGAAGACCAAATTCATGGAAAACAAAATGATTTTCTGAAAGTGAGTGTGGAAAGTGTACCAATCATTCCTCCCAACATTAATTCACAGTAAAGCTTTTGGCCCCATGAAATTATTTTCAGGGTTTCTAACTCTCTGCTTTCACTATCTTTTATTTTTGGAACTTTTCCTTTTTTGTTTTGTAAACAATAGCAAATCAAACTCCCCAAAAATTCAAAATTATCTCACTAACTAGTAAATTATATAATATTTTTCTTTCTTACAGTCAAATAATGTGCTCCACAAAACTATACTGGAAATGATTCTAGCACTAAATGATGATTTACATTTCTGCAATGTACTGTAATAATCTTTTTAGTAATAGCTTAGCCACCTATACACACCAAATGTTAATAACTTGCATTGAAAAAATCAGTTGCTTGTAAAATTCCGTGTGATGAAAACAAGTAAACAGTGAGATACTGTTAAGCTTAAGATTTTCTGAAGAGATCCATGAATAGAATGTACGCTTTGTCCTAATTCACTATGATATCTTTAGCATTTTCAGGCTGTTCACATAGATCATCCTTCATGGTTTCCATCTTGAATTTTATCCCCACTAGCCATAAATTAAAACAAAATATTTTCTTTTTGATTGGAGGTAGTGAATTTCAAAGTCTACTTAATCCTTTGAGTTTCTTTGTCACTGTTACTACTAATAAATATTAATCCTTCCTCACAGACAGGAAAAGTATGACACAAAGATAGTGAGAGATTCTGCAAAGGTCAAGATTAGTGTTGGAAACTCTGGTGATACTGATCCAGGTTTGACCACTTGGTACAGAGCATGGTACCAATTTTGAGTAATAAATATCTTTAAATCAGGTTGTCCCTATATTAAAATATTGATACTATGAACACATGTAGAAGTAGTTCCTGAAGAATTACCTGGAGTATATTATATTCCTTATCCTGACACTTCTTAAGTATAAGAAGTGGGCCTGCCATAAAAAAATTAGCAGAGAAATTTCCTCGAGTGACGACATGTGACTGAAAATTACTTACAGTACTTCACAGATGTAGCATTTAACTTCCTAAAACATTCTCTAAATTATCATATTTACAATTTCCAATAGTTCACAAGGTATATATCATTCATTCCTTTCATAAATATTTAGATACTATCTACATGTAAAAGTTTCTCTTTCACTGACTGGCAAAGATTCCCCATTTCAAGGAATAAAATTAAGCTTCAATGAGTTGAATGATTTGTACAAGATCTTATGATCAGTAATTAAAAACTGTTGATAGTTGGACTGTGAAACAATTTCTTTTTCGACACCATAAGGCATAATATGTTTTATACTGCAGCAAGTTTGCTTCCTCAGTACATGCAATGCATAACTCACTCTGCTAAGCTAAACAGGAAGAAAATACCAAATAAGTCTGAGCCCTATTGCACAACTCATTTTTTTGACTTCTGTGGAGGTAAGAGGACTAGAAATAATTTCCTGCTTATAATATGTTTTTCTTCATTACTAGGTTTTACGTTCCACTATAGGATAGAGTAAAATAAAACCAGGTTGGCTTTCTGGAATTGGAAGTTTTGAAATGCAGTAGGCAAAGGTTAATTACCAAAGGGTCTTCTCAAATTTCAATAAAAATCATCTCTTACTTTTAAGTTTTTGATAATTTTTTAAATTCGATCAAACTAGATAACTCCAGTGTAAACCATGGGCAGAGCATTCAGATCTAATATGATGTATGTATCTGAAACCTCTTATAGAATATTCAATTGGTATTTAGATGGCCTGCACAAAAATTAACCAAGTAGTGTTTGGGGAATATTTTAAAATGTAAAGATTCAGGCACGAACTCTCTTCTGTACTTTATACTTCATTTCTTATTAGTGGAAAAAAAGGCAACTGAACAGATTTCTAGATTCATTTTTAATTTTCTTCTGGTCCTTTATACTTTTTCATTTCTTGATTATGTAATTCCATTTCTCCTTTCCTACTGAGTCTCAAATGTAAGCGACAGCTAATGACACTTACCCTTACCCAACAAAACTTTTTTTAGGGAGAGAAGCTGTTGAATAATCAATTACCATGTCAGTTACTCTTAAGACCTCTTTCATCTTATTTTTGGAATGAAACAAAATAACTACCAAGGCAAAGAGATTGCTTTAATAAATGGGGTACAGATGTCCCCAGATGAAGTGCTGATTTTTCTTTGGAGAAGAAGAAAATCAAAATGAAAGCTGCTTTCCACTAGCTTTCCCACTTACTTTATGTATGTATGTATAAGGTATCTGTTTACTTATTTATTTATGGAATTGCTGCTTCACATTTAGTTTGACATTAAATTAATTTGAGAAACTCTGTCTGAATGTCACAATGTTTCCCCAGAGATAAGAACTGACAGGGGTTCCACACGCTTTCATGAGTTCAGAAGGGTGAATTAGAGTGATTTATTTCAGTCACTAAATCCCCAAAGAGACTAGGTAAAGGTAACTTTGACTTTGTGTGGTTTCAGCTACACACAGGGAAAGTCTGCCCCCTGGACCACTGGGAAGGGAACAGTGGGCATCCACCCGCTGGCATACATTCTGAAACACATTCCCTGACTTCATTTTATGCTCCACTGAGCAGGGGAGTCCATCTATGCTAATTAATTGACAACCAAAATAATAGTCTAACCACACGTTGTAACTCTCTTAAAACGTGTTTAAGTTTTCCATGTGGTAATTTCATTTTCACATTCCTGAGGCTGAAAAAAGAACTGGATTGTGTCAGGAACATATTATAGGAATCCAAATCAATGATAGATCTTTCTGCTGCTCAGAAGATCATTTCTGACCTATCTAGGACAAAAGAGCCCCCAAGGAGCTTAGTGACATAAATGCCTCTGCTCCCTTTCTGCTAAGCAAGCAGGTTCACTGCAAGTGGTAAGTGACACTTAAGAATGATTTTTCCTCAGAGTGTAATTGCTACTCCCCAGCCAATGCAAACCAAGGAGCCATCAGCCCACCAACAAGAACAATTGTAACAACAGTTTGTGTGTATGTGTGTGTGTGTGTGTCTACATGTCTGTGTGTTAAAATTCAGAAAGAGGGTGAGTGTGGAAATGCACTAGAAGCAGTTTATCATCAATTATACATGACCTATAAAATTAAAAGAAAAGCCTCTAGAACTCCTGCAATTTTTCAAAGCAGCAAACTCTTTCTACAGACTTTATATGCATATACCATCACATGTATTTACATAGCCATAAAAGTCTGTCCTTGTAAGTCAACACTCCCCACTGAACTGAATGTGCTCATTGGAATTAATCTAGTTCTTCAAATGTCACGCATAGGTTGTAAATTTTTGCAACTGCTTTTACCCCGTGAACCCTTCTTATTAAAATGCTTATCAAGGTCACCATGAAAGATTGTAATTTTAAAGCTCCAAAAGAAGTTTCCAGTAAAAAGAACAAAGAGAAATCAGATATATTTGGCCTTTTAATGCTTATAGTTTCTTAAGAACCTATTGGTTCCTATCACTTTCTGTATATCAGTGACAAATACATTTTGTAGAGCTAGTAAGAATGCTGTCAAAGCCCACAACTCCTAAAGAGACACACTGAAGCTTCTCATTTTCTGCCTTCTAGTGGGCCTGGTGTGAACAAGCAATCTGGAGATTTAAAATGCTGGAGAGAGGACGTAGGTAAATTGTAGATAAAATTCTACAGGTGTAGAAATGCTTTGGGGGTCAGATGCAGAGACGGATCAGCTATTTATGTGCTTGCAAGTGGTTTGGACATTCATAGCCATAGAAAACATATTACAAAGGGTGTTTACACCATCTCTTTATCAACTTTTTGAATCTTGCTATAACACAGCCACAATCACTTTTTACTGGATTCAGAAGACCAAGAAACACCCTCTTGAAAGACGCCAGTTCCTATTAGTTTTCCTAAAGCAAACAAACAAAATATGTACAGATTCCAAAAGATAGTAGCTAAGCAATGGGAAAAGTGTCTAACTAAAAGTTCTATAATAACCTGCCAACTGTATAATTTTGTTACTATTATCATATAAGAGACTTCAAAGAAGATAAAATATCTGAATATTTTCTAGGCAAGAGATTTCTTAAGACCATGTTCTAGGGCTGAACACATAAAAAATAAAATAAAATTACTTGTGCTCTCCACAATCCAAAAGAAAAAATAATACTGTTAACGTTCTGTCTGCTAAGCCATGGGAAAAGTCATGAGAGTTATATACAAAAGAAGTAATAGTATTATCACTTACCTGACAAGTAGAGGAAAGAAGTCTTTCCGGCTTTGAGGAGATCTCCTGCTTCTTCTCACAAAGCTATTTCCAAAATACTTGCCATCCAGTCCGGAACATTCTGCTTGTTTCAAGAACGTGGGCCTTTGAGTGCTTCAGTCCCTGCTGCAGAGCCCATGGCTCTCAGCGCTTGTAAGAACTTCCACTTGGCTCTCCTGCCTGCATGCCTCCCAGCCCCTATAGAAAGATTATTCCTGAAGTTGCTGTTAAGAGTTTAACTGGAGCAAGTGCACTCAGAGCCCTGTACCTAGGTGTAGCAGGATGGGGAGGGTTATTTACCGTCCATCAAGGAAGGGGACAGGGCAGCAGGGGCTATTAGCAGGCACCGCCTTTTAGCTGCGAGTCGCCGGGTGCTCAGCTGCCCGTGGCGACGACAGTGGCAGCAAGGACAGTAGCGGCGGGGGCGGCAGCGCAGTTTGGTCCCTGTGGCTGCAGCCGGGCCCAGGGGCGCTGTCCATCCCCTCCGGTGCTGAAGTCAGGGGAATGGAGCCCCGCAGCCCGAACCCAAACCGCACTTTCCTCCGCGAGCGGATCCTCGCAGCTTCCTTGTCTTCCAGCCTGTCTTTTCCTCTTCTTGTGCTTTATTTTTTGGCAGGGGTCAGTTGTGTCTCCAAAATAAACCCTCCCATACTTATTTGCTGGCAGGGTTTCGGGAAAGGCAGGAATCCATGGGAAAGAAGATCTGAGCCTCTCCTGACTTTTCAGCGCCCCTGAACGAGTTTCCTAATGGTAGAAATGAAAGGGAACGCACGAACGCGCGCGCACGCACGAGAGAGAGAGGGAGAGAGAGAGAGAGAGAAACAGAACCATGGAAAATCCAGAGCCTCTTTGGAAAGCTCCTGGGTCTTTAATTACATAAGATGGAAAAGGCTATTTTGGAAGACTCTGAAATCTTGCTTATCAATCAGAGGAACCGCATTTAAATTTTCAGAAGCCTTATTTGAAAATCCCAGATTAAACACAGTAAAAATGCTTAAGCCCTACACGCAAAAACGACAGCTTGTTGTCAGAACCTAAGAAGAGAACGAAAGAAGGAAGAGAAAAAGGGGAGGCTTCTGGGCTTTGCTATCTTGGAAAATGCTGCCGAATTGGTTCAGTATATTTTAGCGGCTAAGAGGACCCTGCGGACCTAGTTCACGTGAGCGGCAGTGGGGGCTCGGCCGCGGATGGGGGAAAGCATGGGAAGCTGCATTCCCGGGGCAGAGCTTGCCCCCTGCCCCTGCCTAGGCTCCTGCCGGGGGTGGGAAGTGCTTAGGCATAGACTGTAGGGCTAAAAGGATGTATGAAGTCCGCCTAGGGGCTGCACCTTTCCCAGTCCCTGGCTTGTGTTTTCAGCTCATGCCAGCACCCACACCCCCAGCCGCTTGGCCTCCGCACTCTGCACGTCTCCCCACATCCTCGCTCCGGGCAACTGGTTCATATTGAGCACATAGACGGGTTGGGGTGGGTAGTCCTGAAGACGGTCTCCGTGGGTTCCCTGCCCATACATGGCAGCGGGTGTAGACACAGTGGAGAGACACGGGGACTAAACTATTGGGCACTGAAATTGCTGGAAAATCCTTTGAAATCACGTTCATGAAAACTCTCGAAGCAGGACAGAAGGAACACGTCCTAAGGAGGGGGATTCCCTTCCCCAACCAAGCTCGTCAGCACTGAGCTCCTGCACTGCAGATTTCTGCACCAGGAGATGGTTGATAGACTTGAGGAATTTCGAGGCGGGCTGGCGAGGGGCGCGGGGTGGGATGGGGACTGAGGACGCTGATCGCTCTGGGCTCCTGGTATGCGGCCAGCGCCTGCTCCGGGCCTCCCTCCTCACACAATTTCTTAGCTTCTTTTTCCTCTGACGCTGGAGGTAAAGGGGACGTGGTAGATGTCATGCTTCCCTCCCACGTTTCCATCAAGAATCAGAGCGTGCCGGGGCTGGTGTGGGAGCCTCCTTTCTGGGCGGGGTGGTCCTCTCCCGCGGAGGCGGCGCGCTCTCCAAGGTGCGCGCGGGGCAGGCGGGTGCGAGCGCGGCAGCGGGAGGAGGTGCCACAGCCGCGGGGTTCCTAGCGGCTCCTCGGAGCAGAGATGCCAGGGATCTAGGAATCGCTGTGGACAGAGAACCAAACAGACGGCTTATTTACTCACAGGGACAGTCGATGTATTTGCAGGACTTTGAGTCATTGCCTGAAGCAGCAGCGGCAGCGGCAGCGGCAGCAGCAGCAGCAGAGACTTCATTTCCCCAGGGTGGCCACTGCGCGCTCCCAGGCGCTGGCTGTAAGAGGCCCTGGTCAACGCTGGACTCATTTCAGGCCGCGGACGCTGTGTGGAGCTGCACGCGCAGAAATGTTCGCAGCTGGGGAGAGCCCGCTATCAAGTTGTTCTAACAGTTCCTTGGAGTCGGAGGGGCAACACTAACCAAGGGGGTGTGCGTCTCCCTACAATCGCACCTGGGGAAGCTATCTGACCACACGGAGATACACATCTCTAAAGAGACTGTTCCTTTCTGGAGGCTAATTTTGAAGGACTTGTTTTGTTTTCCCGTTCATGTGAACATAGATTGCTCGGGACTGTGGTAAAGGAAGATCCCCCTTTTCCTGGGAGGACTCAGACAAGCACGTGCTGCCTGTAGCAGCCAGAACACGTACATGTCATCTGTACAAGGAAGTTTCAGAAAAGACTCAGATATTGTTAGAGGAGCTAAAAAAAGTCTCTTTGTCTGAGGGCTGTATACTTTTGTCACTATCACTCCCAGCCAGTAGAGAGGGTTTTTCTCTGGTGTTATTGACGTTGTGCTTTATTGGAGTTAATTTAATTGTTTAAATTATTTTCTCTGGACATGTAGGGGTATGAATAATCGCAAAAAGTTAACACACCAAATAAAAGAAAATCATCTGAATGAGGCACAAAGTGCAAAGATGTTGCTAATTAAAAACATATGCACTTGATTATTCAGACTTGGAGGAGCAGATTTTCCCTTCTTTCTGAGCGCTGATTGACGCTAACTCAGAGTCTCCCCCGCCATTTCTCCTGCCAGTAAAAGGAAAACGAAACAGTTGATTAATCTGAGCTGTCAGAGCTAACAGATTATGTTAGTTTGATATCTTTTCTTGAAGGAGCAAACTCCACTCCATATTTTTCTTCATCAAGTGGTGCAACCAGTTATGGAAATTAAGATGATGAACATCAAATGCACTCTAACATCTCATGTTAACAATGAATATAAATGAAGTATCAGGGAAAAAATAGGGGGCGGATAAACAAGGATGAATTGAAGAAGTGCCTTAAGAATTTTGCCCTTGGAAATTTGTAAAACAATCATTTTAAATATTCTGTTCTCAATTTAGATTAACATTATTTTTAAAGTGTAAACATGTGGAGAAGGACATTCTTTGATTAGAAAGTGCTGAGGACACACAATGATTTGTTTATTGTTGCAAAAATGAACTGAAGCCTTTCACCTGAAGATAAGAGTGTATTTGAATTGCAAGGGATCCCTTTTTTCAGTCTTGCCATGCATTGTAAAAATTAATGGGAAGTAAGGACTGGGATTGTAGTGGATTGATAATTGGTGGTCAACTTGTAACCCCCAGCTGAACTGAGTGAGCCTGGTGCTGGGTGTGGGAGGCCCACCTGGACATTGTTGCCAGCAGCATAAGAGGCAGAACTGGAGAAGGATAATCCTTTAATTATTAAAACATTTGGTATCCACACATTTGTACTAGCTAACCCTTGGTTCTTGCTGAATAAAGGGTGACTGAGATTGGTAATTGGGGCTGCAGTCCAAGAGGCTGTAAGCCCCTGATCCCAGACTTTTGCCTCTTTTGTTTTTCTTTTCTCTCTTACTTTTCTTTTCACCCGTGGGCACCACATTCTTGGGACCTGTCACCCTGGATAGCATGACATAAATACAGTAAAATGTGTATGTGAATCATCAAAGCAATACATGAAGAATTATATTCACAAGAAGATAAAATAAGCTATTGAGTGTTCATCCAGCTCTTCTGATCCGTGTCAATTTCTAAACCTGAGATACCATCTTCACCTTTTCTATATTTCACAGTTTAAGAATTTAAGAGACTAGTTTGTTGGACTTTTTGGAAAAAAATCTAAAGTGCCTTGGGGGAGAGTTTGCACTACAAAGCAAAATCTTTATGAAACATTATGTAGAGACCATTATGTAGGAAATTCTGACATTGGCTGAATAACTTTTATAAGTTTCCTATTTTGAGTCCTCTTGTAGCCATGTATATAATAATGTTATCATTTTTGCTAACCTCATTGAATTGTCCTGCAGAAAGAGACCATGTACATAAAATTTTCATACATCTTGTCTATTTCCACAGAAATAGGTAATATTATTGCCTATGGAGTACTCTTTTCTCATTATTTCCACACCTGTATTATAAGAATGAATATATAATTTTGAAGTTTCATTTTTATTAAAATATATTTCTAATCATTTCTGTGCTTCACTGTATGTTTCTGAATCGAGCTCGAGCTCTCTCAATCCAAAGTAATTATTTTAGTCACTCTCAGCTCATGGTTTTTACGTCTTTAGTTTTAAGCTGATAGTTTTGCATTGCAATCAAGTATCACTAAATATTCCTTACAAGTTCTTTCTGAAATGGAACCATACTCTTAAAATATCCTTTCATAAAATGTGACTGAGTTGTATGTTCTTTTGCCTCCTTTGTACGTAAGAACCCTTGGACACATACTTTTCCTCAGTGAAGGTGCTCTTCATCTGCTGAGCCATCATCAAGTAAATGGAAGCTTCCTGTCTGTGTATTTGCATCAGCTGTGTTCACCTGACTTCAGTTACAGGCAAAGAGGTAGATGGGAACTTGGAACCAACTGACCTCAAATTAATTCAAGTACAAAAATCTAACAGATTTGCTTAACTTTCTTTGGGGGATGAGGTGAGGATAAAACTTGTAGTCAGGAAAGCTTAGCAAATTGAGCACCAGTAACCAAAAGTGCCTATGAAAACTGAAAGGGAAATTTCATTTTACACAATGGTTCTGTACAGACTTTTCTTCTCTCTTTCTTTCTCAGACACTTGAACATGGACTCAACTGACATATAAGTGAATGAAATACTTAATCTTTTTTTCACTTTAAAATGGCCAGGCATGATGGTGCCTGCCTATAATGCCAGCATTTGAAAGGCTGAGACAGGAGGATGACAGTGAATTGGATGCCAGCCGAAGTTACAGAGTTCATTCCAGGACAGCCTGAACTTCATAGTGAGATTCTGCCTCAGAAAAACCAAAATAAGTGTATAAATGAGATGAAAGTAATGCAACCTATTTAACAGAGCTGTAGTACAGCACCTGGAAACAATGCATAGAATGTTCCACACAGGACCAGAAGCTCTTATAATGTCCCTCCGCAGCTCTCCAGCAGGAACAAGGCCTCATATCATTTATCGTGTTTGTGAACAGGAAATACTGCTTTATTAAGAACATACGATTATGCTGTGCTGGGAGTGGTGGTACAGGGGCACACCTGTAATCTCACCACTCAGGAGGTTAAGGCAGAAGAGTCGCTGAGAGTTCAAGGCCAGCCTCGGCCACAGAGTTCCAAGCCAACCTGACCCGCATTTCAAAACCCTGTCTCACAAAGACAAAAATAAATGAATGAATAATAAAAAAAGATAGCAGTGTGAATACTATTTCTATACAAAGGTATACAAGTTCCATACACAGGAATCCAGTACAATGGAAA